GAGTAAAGCTGCTGCCTCTGATACTGGCATTCCAAACAGGCACTGGTTCATGTCCCAGCTGCTTCGCTTCTGATCTGACTCCCTGCTAATAACCTGGGAAGAGCAGTGGAAGATGGCCCAAGAGTTTGGGTCTCTGTACCCATGTGGGAGACCTAGAAGAAGCTTCTGACTCCTGGCTTTGCCCTGGTCCAGTGCTGGCTATTGCAGCCATCTGAGGAGTGAACCAGAGAGTGGAAGATCGATCTCTCTCTCTTGCCTTCAAATAAATAATAAATCTTTAAAAAATCATAACTGTATCACAAGATTTCTAACGTGGTAGCCTAGATCCAGAGCCTATTCCTTTAACCCTCATGCTATAGACCATTACATAACCTATTGCTGATATTGACTTAGTCCTGAACACTGAGGTAAGAAACAGACAAGTATAATTGGAAACTCTGGAATGCCCATGTAAGAAGTCCTTTGAAAACTATCATATGTGCCTTTACCTCCAAGTTCTGTTTTCTTTATTTATATGTATTTTTTTTTATTTTTTATTTTTTTTTTTGCCGATCAAGCTGCGACTTTATTTTTCAACCACACACTTATATATCATCGAGGCAGGGTATCGGGAGGGGGAAGGAGGGGGGGGCTTATCTTGTAGCTGCAATGCTAGTGCAAGTAGGGGAAAGGTTACAAGGCCTTAAGGCACAAGGTCACACAAGGTTGCGTTATCAGTACTATCAGGTCTGGCCTGTCCAGCCCTGTCTCTCAACTAAGAGGTCACATGTATTTTTAAAAGATTTATTGATGTATTTTAAAGGCGAAGAGAGAGAGAGAGAGAGACAGAGAGAGAGAGAGAGAGAGAGAGAGAGAGAACCTTCCATCTACTCTCCAAATGGCTACAATGACTGGGTCTGAGCCAGGCAGAAGCTGGGAGCCTGGAACTCCATCTGGGTCTCCCATGTGGGTATTAGGGTCCAAATACTCCCACTACCTTCTGATGCTTTCCCAGTGCGTTAGCAGAGAGCTAGAGGGAACCAGCGCTCATAGGAGATGGCAGCATCACAGGCCGTGGCTTAACCTACAGAGCTCCAAAGCCAGCCCCTATTTGTATATTTCCTCTCCTGATAACATCATTGTGAGAAAGAGGAAGTTCCAATGCCAAACAGCACAGCACAGAGAACATGAAATTTAAGCCTCTGAGATCTTAACTCCATGTAGCCAAATTCCTATCCGCGTCTTGGCTTCCCAACTCCTGTGCTCACAGGAATGCAAACCTCTTCACATTTCTTCCTCTTTTCTTATTTAGTATCTTTACACAGCATCTGTGTGACCTGTGTGATTGCACGAAATGTGTTTCTTTTATTTTTATCAGGGAATTCTGATAGGTTTCCCTCTACAAATATAACAATAGGTTTCCCTTCCAAATGCCTCCTTCAATCAACTAATACAGTAAATTGAGTAGGAAAACCTCATTTTATCTTTCATCTCCTGGACACAATCACCGTTATGGAGACAAACATTAATAAGAGCAAGAATAAAAATGAGTGTTGAATAGTCGTGATTTTCAGTGGACTCGATGAGCTAAGCGACTATGAGCTCTATGACTGGAAATAGAATCTTCTGCAAACTCTTATTCACAGACCTAGAGCATTCTAAAAAGTCTGCTGTTCTTTGAATTTGTTAGACTTATCTCTGTGTTAGCTTTAGCTTGGACTACCAAGCTAAGAGGAATGGGGAAGTACAAAAGTGAGCGATCAGATGGTAAATGATGGATATCAAGTTTGAAAACATGAAGATATGTGATGAATTTTCCCCGTTCTTTCCCACTGGCTAGAAGTAAGAAATGGGTCTGGTGGGTGGTAATCATAATGCAACTGATTTCGGTTTGGTTTGATTTAGAGAACGTTCTTTTTTTCTTTCTTTAAACAGAGTTGATCAAAACTAGATGTTATCATGGTACTGGGATTCCCATAAATAAAATATTCAAGGACATGCTGGACTACTATTTAACTTGGATGTTGAAGTAAAGTGAATAAATAATATCTCAGATTATTCCAATAAGGTCTATCATTGATTCCCTCTTCTTAATGTCCTACTGGGCAATCTCAAAAGAGTGGAAGAAAAGTGCTCACTAATCCCACTGGCAAAGAAGAGATTCTGTGGGACTTCAAGGGAAAACAGGATCAACAAAAGTTTGATACTAACTCCAATATGGTTCTAACCCTAGATCCTTAAAGAAGGTTACTACTCAATTTGGCAGACAAAACCAATGCATTACACATTAAGATGTTAAGTGAAAATTTAATAATTAAATTGGAATAAAGAACACAAAACAGAATATTTAAAAATTGATGAGTGGTAAAACAACAAGTTCAGAAGTCAAGAGAGAAAATAGGTAAACAGAATACCTGGAAAAACTAGGACTTTAGTTTAACCTTGAAGTGACCAACAAGCTCATAGCATGAATGAGTGTATCCAAGCTTAAGAAGATTTTATAGATTATCCTTCCAGAATTTTCTCTAATTTAAAATAATCAGAATTTTGTGTGCATGTGTGTGAATATATGTGTGTGCATGTATATTAATGCATAAGCATGTAAATATATGTATGTATAAAAATTTATTTTAGAACTTTTGATAGTCTATGCATGAAAGCATAATTTCCAATAGTTTAAGTATCCTCCTAGGAAAGCAATAGATCTTAGATATTCTTTCACCTCGAGTTGGTTCTGTTTATCTGCAGTGGTGAGCATCAAGTATTCTTTCAAAAACTTCCGTGTTTCAATCCCAAACAAATCAAACAAAATAAAAAAAATAGAAACCACAATAGGAATAAAGTAGAAAAAGATTAAAGGAAAATCAGCATTGTCCAAAACTGATCCAAAGTATAGTTCAAGTATAGTCCAGTAAAAAAAATCAGTGGAGCAAAATTCAAAGGAGGCTCAGAATTGATTTGCACTTGCTCTATGTTCCTGGAAGAACAATTTAAGAGAAGAGAAAATGACAATGAATAAGATTTTCAAAACTTACTGTTGCTCTTCAAAAGTTTAGTGGAATAAAATGTTGAAGATATTATAGCCATGGAATAAAGATGGTTAATATTCCAATAGGATCCCTATGGTCAGCCCATTCACTCCTCAGTAGTTACTTAACTGGAGGTAGGCAGAGATTGTTTATAGCTTGGAAATAAGTGTAACTTTCTGAGAAACTAGAAAGACATGCCCAATCTCATAATATGCAATTTTTTCAGACCCAGTCTGGCCCAAATATTGACCTCCATTTCTGTCTTCTGATCAAGGGGTGCGAAGCAATCAGGAACTCTACAGTTTCTGAGTGTCTGGATGAGCAGTGTTGAGTATGGAAGAAATGACCATTTATCCAGTAACTGTACTTTACCACGCATGGGTCAGGGCAGTGTTAAAAGCAATTTCTTTCTCTAGAGTTACATTTGATAGAAAACTTCTAGGTTTCCTTTTAACCACAAATGTAATCAATTCAGAAAGTTTGAGTAGACTTTGACCTTTGATACTTCAAATAAATAAATAAAACAACAATGTACCTCTGACTTGCTTGGTAGAGGTAGGGAAAGATCAGACAGTAAAATCTAAGTGGGAAACCAAAAATTCACTGAACTTTAAGGGGGCTGGGTGTCTAAGTGACACCTTCTCATCATGACACACAGCTGCAGTAGAAGACTCACTATTACAACATGGGATTGAATTGTTGACTCGATGGAAGCATATGTGTTTCATATTCTTTTTTTTAAAGATGTATTTATTTATTTGAGAGGCAGAGACAGAGAAAGAGAGAGAGGAATTCCACCCACTGGTTCACTCCCAGGTGGCTGCAATGGCCAGAGCTGTGCTGATTTGAGGTCAGGAGCCAGAGACTTCTTCCCGGTCTCCTACATGGGTGCAGGGGCCCAAGGACCTGGGCCTCCTCTACTGCTTTCCCAGGCCATAGCAGAGAGCTGGGTTGGAAGTGGAGCAGCTGGGACTAGAACCAGTGCCCATATTGAATGCTGGCCCCCAGTCTCATATTTTTTGTATAATGGGCTGTCTGAGACAAGGTGAGAGTTAAATGAGACAGTAAGCAATGTGTGTGAAAATATCCATAATCTGAAGACATATGTAAGTGTATTCCTATCATTAAAAGCTGTTAGGAATAGCACAACTATTTTTTACTTGTAAGCAAACATTGTAGTTGGCTTATTGTTAACTCTAAAAGAAGTCTAAAGTGACATTAATAAACCTTGAGGTGTGAAAATTAGAACTCCATGTGGGGTCTACATATGGTATGGTAACAATCAACATTTTGGAACAATGAATTTGATTTTTGTTATCTCACCTTCTAGGATTTGTTAAAAATTATAAACCCTCAATTTAACCCCATTTAGACATTTTTTTTTTCATTTTCCGTTGTAGCTGACTGGCTCGTAGGTTCCCAGAAGATAATGATTGGCCTTTCTGTTCCCTGGGCAGCTCCAGGATGTTGAATCAGAGTTTCAGATCTCTGTTGGTGGTAGGCTCTGTTTTGCAGAAACCCCCTAATCCTGTTTACCACAACATAAATCCATTGCCATAGAAATGATAGCTGAGATCCCAGATCCAACATCACTGACTTCACAGCAGGGCCTGTAAGAGAAGTCAGGCGAGGAGGGGGACACAATTTATGAGAATAGTAGGCGCTCTGTTGCCCAGAAAGAAAGGGGGATTGTCAACATTAGAATAAAAAAGCATGGATGAGCTATGTTGCTGGGTGCGCTGTAGTTTTTTTTTTTTTCGGTATAAGACTGCCTGACTAAACGTAATAATTTGAAGTCTTCTGTCATTTAATAGTTTGCTTTCCAAAGGTCAGTAGTTTCCAGGGATTGCATTTGTTTCTTACTGAAATGAGAAACATAATTAATCTTGTTGCACAATTGATGTTTCTGTGGCCAAAGACTTCCATTTTCATGATGTGTTGTTTTGTTTGTGTTTATTGTATTTGTGGGTTTTGTCTTGTTTCTATTAATAGAAGAAAGTGAACCTGACCAAGATACTAAAGGTATTTTTTTTCTTTCTGAGATGCTTTTTTGTAAATGTATGGTTCTTTTCAATTGATTATTTTTGTTGGCCTTACAAACAACTCTAAAAGTCTTTATTTTGCTAAAAAAAAAAAAGTAACAAACAGTGTGTGGGGGATATTAAGTCAGAGCATTTAACAGTGTTATTAGATGGGTTGCTTCGTTACGTGTTTCTTGACTATTTACATGTTTTAAGAACACATGCGGTCAACAGAAAGGTTTACATTTGTTGTCTCAAGTTCTGGCAAAACAAACAAAATGAAATAAATTATCATATAAATTCCACACAGATTGGAAAAGGAAGCTACATTTTGACTAAAAAGACTTCTCTTTAGTGGGGAGGAGTTAGAATCTTTGGGGAAATATTAAAATGCCAGCTTAGGCTTCTATTGTTATGATTTCAACAAAACAAGCAGTAGTAAGCAATTGTTCCAAATCAGTAAAAATTAAATGATTACATTTTAACTGCACTTAGACATACATATTTAGGGGAATATGTTTATAGGAAAGCAACAAAGCTGTTTGAGGAAAATCCTAGTAGAGAATGAGAGCTTGTTGCCCCTCACAATAGCTTGGGTCCTAATTAAGCCCCGAAGTTTGTGCTCTTCCAATCTGAACTTTGATATTTTGAGGATAAAATTGATAAACTGACAAGTGACATAGTTAGACACTATGAATTAATCTTGGGCTGATATATTTAAAACCAGATCTCTTTATCCTTGTGTCTCAAATAAAGCATAGGCTGAGCATCCCTTATCTGAAAAGTTTGGAACCAGAACTGTTTCAGATTCAGTTTTCCAGATTTCAGAATACAAGAATTTATGTAGATTTTATCAGTTGAACATCTCAGTGTCACAGCTCAGTTTTTCATATTAGGGATGCTCAATTTGTATATGTTTCCCTCTTTTTAAATACAGGTTGCTTATAGCAAAATGCAAGTTAAAGCATTTCACCTGGTTCTATGTGATTTTCTTTAGTGAGGTTTATTTATTTGATTCAATTCATTCTTATGCCTGACACTTCTAGTTTGAATCATGTAACCTAAAAATCCTCTCTTAGGGAAGGCAGAAAATAAAATTGAAAAGAGTAAGAGAAAATTTTTTTTAAATGGGAGGAGAAAATTAAATACAAGTTGAGCTCATGGTATTCTTTTTTTTTTTTTTAAGATTTTTTTTATTTATTTATTTGACAGGTAGAGTTACAGACAGTGAGAGAGAGAGACAGAGAAAAAGGTCTTCCTTCCGTTGGTTCACCCCCAAAATGGCCGCTACGGCCAGAACTGCGCTGATCCAAAGCCAGGAGCCAGGAGCTTCCTCCCAGTCTCCCACGCAGGTGCAGTGGCCCAACCACTGCCTTCCTGGGCCACAGCAGAGAGCTGGACTGGAAGAGGAGCAACAGGGACTAGAACCTGGTGCCCATATGGGATGCCGGCGCCACAGGTGGAGGATTAACCTAGTATGCCACTGCGCCGGCCCCCTCATGGTGTTCTTTTAAATAAAGCTTCAGAAATAAACATTGATGAAGCTTGATCATCTCCCAACCCTGTTCCTTTACCAAGGAAAGAGTAGTTCTTCTCAAATCACACTGCTTGTTAACTTCAGAACTTAATTTGGGTGCCTTATCCCCTGAGATACCCTCTGTACAACCAGTGCAATTTCAGGATGAATAATGGCTTTTATCTCCTTAACACATATTACCCCTTAAAATGGCAATCAATAATAAAACTGATTATGTATCCTGAAGTACTTTGGGAAACACACATATCATGGCTGCTAGTCATTGTATTTACTATTCCTTCATTTCCTTCTGAATAAATATGGCTGGATCACAATGCAGTTGTATGGCCAACATTTTATAAGCTGTCAGCATAGACTAAATTAACTTTATCATTTTTAATACTGGGGATAATGTAAGAGAGTTCCAATTGCTCTGCCTCATCATTCACACTTGGTCAGTCAGATTTTAATTTTAGAAACTCTAAGAGAACGTAATTTTAAAAAATTGTATTTATTCATTTGGAAGGCAGAGATAGAAGTTTAGGGAGACAATATTCTGTGTTTATGTCATAAGGACTTTGGAATTGCTGGCTGCTGCAGCCCAGTTTTGATTATAGGATTCTCAGCCTAAAGTTAGTCCTGAAAATCTGCCCAAGAGAAACAAAGCCCCAAACTCACAAATAAAATCCCACTAGAAGAAGCCCAGGGATAAATATATTGCTTGTGTCTATTTTCCACATTGCAGATGAACAATGACTTGCCTGCCCACAGGAGAATGAGTGGGAAAGGGCACACTGTGAGATGGAGAATGATGCATAAAACTCTATGCAGAGAGGTAGCCGTTGTGCTTAGCATATCACAGCGCCCCAGTTCAATTCCCAGCTCCAGCTCCTGATTCCAGCTTGCTGTCAATGCCACCACAGGAAGCAGTAGTGATGGCTCAAGTACTGAGTCCCTGCCACCCATGTGAGAGAGCCAGATTGCATTCCTGGCTCCGCATCTGACCCAACCCCAGTCATTGCGTTTGGGGAGTGAATCAGCAGATGAGAGTGCTCTCTCTCTCTCTCTCTCTCTCTCTCTCTCTCTCTCTCTCTTTCATCTCTCTCCCTCTCTCCTCTTGAATTTAAAGCATTATGTACAGAAAGAGGCTCTTGATAGTTTGTTTTCTCTAAAAATCTATTCAAAACTGTTATAAAATTTATAAATTACTAAGTAACTTCATGCTTCCTCTATTAAGGAGTGTGTTTATATAACACAAACACATTTTTTTCCATGCAAATAAAATGCAAAAGAGGGATTTTTCAATATGTGTTTTATTTCATAAGAGAAATATCACATTACTTTTTGGATTATAGTGTCCTACAAGATATGTTCAGTTTGTGACTGCCACTAAAATAATGTGGTCTACTATTGAGCTGCATCCAAGATTATTATTGCAGGTGAATTATTATCCATGGAGATTTTTTGTATGGCAGTTATATTTAATTGCAACTGACTACTGTTTTCAGTGCTTGAAAAATGTTTTGGAATTTCTTTCACAATCCCTAATTTTGACTGATAACAAGTACAATTGGGTAAAAATATATCACTTTTATTACCAATAAACCTGCCTTGAAAAATAGAGTTTTCTACCCATCTAAATATTACACCAATATAACTTCTTTTTCCTCATCTTCCTCACTAGGTCCCAAGTTTTTCACCTTTCAGTTCTATTTGTAGCATATAGAGGCTCTGACCTGGTGAACTTCCTTTTTTCCTATCAACACTCTACTCTTCTTACACCTGCTCAGGATAGCTGAGAGAATGATGGTCCAGGGACAGGCTGAGATGTATGTGTATTTACAAATCCCTTCCCCAAGTCTATCAGAGAAGTCACTCGCTCGCTTATTCATTCAATCACTCAGTAAATATTTGTTTTGGAGTGCTACCCATGCATTTACCATGCAGGGTTCTGGAGAGAGAGAGAGAGAGAGGGAGAGAGAGAGAGAGAGGAAGGAGAGAAAGAGAAAGACTGAGACTCTTTTAATAAACAAGGAAAACTTCATTCTTGTGATTCTTACATCCCGAGAGGAAAGAGTGCCCCAAAACTAATAAACACACCAGTAGTGCTATGAAAAGTACCCAACACGGGTCAGGGTCAGAACGCATTACAATAAGGATACTTTTGAACAGAAACCAGAAATCTGCAACCTCCTTCGAGAAGGGAGGGAGACAGAAAGCCTGAAATCTATCTTTCAATATTAAACAAAGCAGGTAGAGACTGTGAGAATTGCAAGAGAGAGTGACTTTTCTTTAATCTCTGGTCTTTCATTTTTGTTAATCCACTGCACTTTACAGTGAAACTCATGGCCAGCCAAAGGTCTATCTAACCCCTTTGGAGAGATCAGCAGTTTATCAACACATCTCACATTCATGGAGCTACCTGTAATGCCGATAGTAATCCATTATTTACTTTTCTGTGCCCTACTGGAACCACCACAGGATTATGATACAGGACAGAGTGGTTCATTAATTAAATGAAATCTGAAATCATGCTGTACTCTAGAATAATTGTAGCTGTCTATTTTATTATGACTTCACAGTATGCTTAGCTATGTTGTGCAATATGCATCATCACAAATTTTGCAAGAAGTCCAAATGGTGTTCTGAATATTTAATCCCAGCCAAAAGAGGGGGGAGGAGAGCTATAAATTAAAACAAAGTAAACCTTTCCTGATTACTAAATTTCCAGGAAGAATCTAAAGTCCCCAAATTCAAACTCTTGCCTTATAAATTAAAGAGGAAAAAAAAATCTAGATTTCACTCTTCTCCAAATTTGAACTTTGCTCATCTTCAGCCAGACTCATTCAAGTTCAAGGATGCAGTAAATGTTATTGCATTCTATCAGATTAGAAAGATCCAAGTCCAAATGTGTCAAGGATACTGATTGTTTCAGATTCTCAGAGGCAATGGGACCCATAAGAAGTTCATACAACAGTCTTATAGTCAAAAAATTTAGCCCCAACCTGTGAAAGCTATTTCAACAAAATGATGCACATGAACTCAAATAAGATACATAATCCAAGTTTTGATGATGATGATGATGATGATGATGATGATGATAAAACATTAGGAAAGAAGAGTATCTGGGTGCACCCTGGCTCGAATGCCAGTCAGTCTCTGTCAGTTGCCAACAACTTAATTCTGAGTCCACAAACTATGAACTTAAGACTAAATTGGGACGGAATCACACATTGTATTTGGGTAATGTGTCTTAAATCTCACTTAATCTATAATAGATCATTCTTCTTTCTTTCCCCTGATGCTATTTATTTGGTGAAGAAACTAAACAATTTGCTGTGGATTTGATGGCATTGCATCTCCGTGGTATTAACATGTTCCACAAACTTTTTGTAGACTGCTAGATTCCAGGACTTTCATAAATCAGTCTCAGTTTTGCTTTTAGGGAGTAGACTCAGCTTTATTTTAACATTTGAAGCCAGTTTTTGCTGTTATATTTTGTAACTACCTGTTGCCTTGAAGAGAGCACCATTTTAGCTCTTCTTAGGGTCCAACTTCTGTATATCTAAAATATACTAAATTCCACCTTTTAGAGTCTTCAATATCACAAACATTCAAGTTAATTCAAAACTGGAAAGAGCATACAATTGTCCAACAATTGTCTGTGTTTAAGTCATAGAAAACAAAAGGCAGCCGCCTAACTTATGGACTATTTAGTAGATAATGAAAAAATTCCATAATGGAAAGAAAATTGGATTTGAAATTAGAAGACCTGAGTTCACATCTCTTACCCATCACTTTTATGCCCTTGAGAAAGCAAGTTAACTGGGAAGTAGCTTCTTTGTTTATAAAATAAGAGCAGGAATCCAGTCAATCTCAAATCTCTTCCAACTTTAACAATTTTGTGACTCCATCTATCCTGTGCATTCTGAATTTCAACCCTACTCTTTAGCTAAAGGTAGAATTTCTTCTCACATCCAGAGATATTTCTCTTAGTCAGTGGGAATTCCGCCTCAGGAAGGGATGTAAAATATTCACACTCCTGCCCATGCCTTCCCTAAAATACGCTTTCCTTTATTTTGCCCGATGTACCACTTCATTCTCTGAAAAGTTTGACAGATTCTGTATATCTTCCCATTGTGGCACAGTTGAGGATATAAAGCATAATTAATTGTTCCATTAATTTAATAAAATGCTATCCTGGGCTTCCTTTGCTCGAGAACTCTTGTAGGTACGAAATACAGCAGTGAGTGAAGCAGGCAGGCCTTTTAGTTTCACACAATCTAACAGGGAAGGGAAACAATAGACAAACAAAAAATAAATAAGATAATTTTAGAAAATGGTAAGGTCTGTAAAGACAATAAAATAAGATGATGAAAAAGTTAATGAGAGGAAGGTTACATTGTATGTTGGGAGATTAAGGAGCACCCTTGTAAGGAAATATCAGTTAAACAGAGACATGAATGATATAGGAAGCCTACTGCGTGAAATGAGGCATGCACACGCCAAGCTGAGGAGCAGGCTCCTACATGGGCAGTCTCCTTCAATGGGAATGAGCTCAGCATACCCTTGAGTGGTGCAAAGGCCAGGCATAAAGGACTTGGAGGCCAGGGCACAGCATTTGCTGTTTTCCTTAAGACACAGGGAAACACCGAAGGATTGTACAAGGGGAAACATGGTCTGATTGGCAATTTTTAAAGACCACTATAGCTTGGCCATTCCCTAAAGGAAAATCACTCACTATTTCTGTCTTTCTAACAGTTTTTGCCAGAATCCTGCGGGCTCCTGAATCCCACAATGTCACCTTTGGTTCCTTTGTGACTTTGCGCTGTACAGCAACAGGCATCCCTGTCCCCACGATCACCTGGATGGAAAATGGAAATGCTGTGAGTGTCATGTGTATGGGAACTTGTCTGGGAAGAGCCATTTGTGGTAAATTTCAGGACAGTCCTTGAACGTTTAGCTACCTCTTGATCTGTGTCATTGGTCCCACCTGTACATTTCTTGAAGTTTCCAGTATCTCTGTCCTACAAGGACACTGCCATAGTCATTGAACTTTTCTTGTTTCCTTATATGATAGGGATCAGGAAGAATGTAAAAGTAGTAATAACTCCTTCTCACGGCAGTAAAATAATTATCATGAAACTCATCAGTGAAAAAAAAACCACTCACTGCTAGAAACTATCTCAATGAACACAATTCTGAATTAAAATCCATGCCTATCCATTCAACATTCTTTTCTTAATTTTAATAGTAATAATAATAGCTGATTAATATCAAATGGTTATTTTGAAGCAGGCCTTGTCCTAAGTACTTCACATATCAGAGTTTACTTATTCAATTCACAAATAAGCATTGAGCATCTGGATTTCTGGCCATGGGGATATAGGAGCAAACAAAAAGGCAGCATTGTCTTCCATACACAGCTTACATTCTGGAGGAGGATATAAGTAGATAAGATAAGGTAAGGTAAGTAGATAAGTTGGGGAAGACAAGGACAGAATCTGGTATGTCAGAGAAACAGCAAAGCCAATGTGGCTAGAGGAGGGAGCAAAGAGGTAAGGCACATGTGTAGGCATTTTGGACCACGTAGACATGTATAGTTTATTAAAATAACTTTGGCTTTTGAGTATGATGAGATTCCATTATTCGTGTTTTTCTGTTGTCTGTTGTCCCACTCACTCTTGCTCATTGCATTTAATTTCCTTGTAAGCCTAGTAATCTTTGTTTACTTGCTGTTCATTGGAACTAATTTGAGGTCTAATTGAAGATACTTTCCTCTAGAGAGAATTTTTTCTTGGTTCTGCTAAGAATCAGGGACTATCACTAATGTTAGACCATAGTAAATCAATCTGAAGGTTTGATGCTACTTAGACATCCCAGATAATTATATAATTCTTCATGAGGGCTATTTCACTTGCATTTCAAACAGTATCTCCCTGCTATCTAGTTATTGAAGGTTTTAATTTCCACATCTCTATGGGCTGAGTTTTGATCTGTCGCCTCACTCCTTAAGGCCATACAAAGGAAGACTAGAAATTTTCTGGGGTTGGAAAATTGTCTTAGAAGAAATACAATCTTCTAAGTTGCTACATCTACTAAAATACGTTTTCATAATTTTGTTATTGAGGACTTGTCTGAATAATCTAGCTTATAAATATCTGAAGTAGGAAATTACCATGAATTATTATTGTTATTATAAAGACTTTGATGACTTATCTGTTTATATTTGGTTTGAATTCTTTTCCTTAATAGTTATTCTTAATATAAACATATTTCAAAGACAATAAAATGCCCTGTCATCAATTATATCAACTTTTAAATTATGTCATTTTCACCTTCAAGTGTATTATGTTGAACCATTTCCCATTTTTCTCATTACTTGAATACATTGCTTTGTTTCTATAATTATATTGTTTCAATTTGTTTTAATTAAGAATCATTGTATTTGTTTTCAAAAATGGGAATAGCTTGTTCTTTTAGTGAGCTATCATGATTGGATTTTATTAACAATATTTTGCCAGTCTTAAAGAATCAATTGGCAAGTTTATATTATCTTCCTTCAATACAGAGATGATGTCAAAAAGTTGGGATGCAAATCTCAAACTCAAAAATATTTCCTCTACTACACCTTTAATTACTCTGTTTCTCTTTTCTGCATTTTTAACAAATGTGTTTTTTTTTTTCAAAACTTCAAGTTTTCTGTTCTCTTTGCTTATTTTTGTAGAGAAACAGAGGAAGTCTGTGTAATCTGTCAACTTTTTCCTCAGGCTCTAATATCGACCATAATTGTCCAGCATAGGGAATTCCAGTAGAAATCCCATTGTCAACCTCTAGGTGATGAGCAGATGCCTAGGCCTGGTACAATATGCATACATAACAACTCCCAAGGTTCTTTAAGCACTTAAATGACTTCTACAAAGTCCACCCCCATTAACAGCTCTGCTCCTGGAATTTTGGGATTTTCCATTACTCAATAGGGAAAATTTCTCATCTCTGTAAACCTCTTCCTTTGAATTAGGTTTCAGTTGTGTAGTTAATATTAATTCTTCTATCAATCTAGAAACTGATAAAACTGTCTAGTCCTTTGATTATGTTACTCTTCCATATTTCTATGAATTTGTTTTTCTTAATTTTAGATTTTGCCTTTTGGAATTTCAAGTGGAAAAAGGAGAATTAAAATGAGCTAAGATTATTATTACTACAGTAACTTGTGTATTGAATAAACATGATTACATATAATACTACTTTCTTTCTCTGCCCTTTAAAATTTATTCAGCAGAACTAGTTGTTTTGCCACTATTGGCAAGCAGGCTCTGTGATTTTCCTGGACACTATTAGGTGATTTTATATCATTAACATTATCCTAATTTAGTCATTTTAAGTGTCTAGTTCCAAGTACTAACTAAGTATCCAATTGCATTCACAGGCACAACTTCCACCACCTACCCTTCTTAGGACTATTGCAGTCATGCTGGTTGCCTTCCACAAAAAATATCTGTGGACAGCTTCTTAGCTCATGCTCTCTCTTTGTTCCCACACTTCCTCACTGCTGTTTATGACTCCAGCAGAGCTGGGATGGGAGGAAGGGAGAGGCAGCATTTGGAGCAGGAAAACTCTTATTTAATTGACACTTTTGTAAGCTGGCTGTGCAATCCCTGTGCCTGCCAGGTATTTAACACTGGCTCTTTCCCTAATGAACTCATTCATGACTCTTTCCTTCCTGGACACATTCATTTCCTCAGGGAACATCCAAGATGACACCAGTGATACATTTTCCTCAGGCAGTCAACCTTCCACTTAACTCCCAATGTAGTAGTTGATGGAAAGTATTTCTGTTGGCATCCAATTAATCCCTTCAAATTCCTATTGAAAGGACTGACAAGAAACCCAAATCGGATCTATAAACTTTGTATCTGCAAACTCTGGAAACCTAGACCATTAAACATTGCTATCTGCTTTGTTCCTTCCACTGGAACTACCAGATAGTGCAACCCCTCCTGGTTTAGCCTGCTTACTGTTTCTATAACAAAATGCCTGGGTAATGTATAAAGAAAACAGGTTTATTTAGCTCACAGTGTTGAATGCTGAAAGTCCAAAATCAAGTGGACCCGTTGAATGGGCTTCTGGTGAGGGCCACTGTGGATGGCATTGTGATGGAAGTCTATGTGGGAGGGAGATGTCACATAGTGGACAGGAAGCCAAAGAGCAAGCAGGAGCGAGTCTTACTGTTTTATAATGACCCAAGATATTGGGAGATGTTGGCCAAAGTGTATGATTCTTCAGTTACACGAGATGAATAAGCATGGAGAGTTAATGTCCTCCATAGTAAGCATAGTGAATATTGTAATGATTTCTCAACATTTGCTAATAGGGTAGATCACAAGTATTCTTACCACACTTACACAAAAAGGCAATTATGTGAGATGATGGACAAGTGAACTAGCTTGATTATGGTGATCATTCCATAATGTGTATGAATAACAAAAACATCAAATTTTAAATATATACATTCATCCACACTTTATATATATATATATATGTATATATATGCAATTTCCATTTGTGAGTTACACATCAATAGCTAAAAAAATAAAATATTGCAAGAAGGAATCTCAGAAAAGGCATGCTGTGCTCTGTAGTTCCACCCTCCCCCACCTCACCTGTGCTCTTGCTTCTGCAATGCAGTGTGTCCTAAGAAACCTGACTGACTGTAGCCCTGAAAGAGGAAAGATACAATATTCAGGAAAAGGAAGAAGGGAAGGGGAGAGAAGACTCAGTCTGTGGAATTTTGGTGGGTGCTGTAAGACAGAAAAAAGACACCAAATTCTATGGCTTCCCAATAGCAATGAATATTTTAGTGCAAGAGCACCACACAAAGCTTGCAATTGATTTATTATTGCAATTTCACATTTGTTGTTTTTTTTTTTTTCATTTCTGAGGCTTGGCTAAGACTTTTGTTTTCATAAATTATTGTTAAAATTGATTCATTTTGGGGAGGGCATTTGGCATAGCAGTTAAGATACCAGTTGGGATACCCACATCCCATATCAAAGTGTGTGGAATCAAATCTCATCTCCATTCCTAATTCCAGCTTTCTGATGATGTACACCCTGGAAGGCAGCAGGTGACGACTCATCCTTGGGTCCCTGCCATGCCTGTGGGGACCTGATTCAGTAACTAGCTCTCTACTTTGGACTGGGTCCAGCCCTGGCAATTGCAAGCACTGGGGGACCGAATTAGTGAATGGCAGATCTATCTGTCTTTTTCTCTCCCACTGTCTCTTTGCCTCTCAATTAAAGAAAAAAATGTAAGAAATTTACTGCTTATCCAATATTCTTCCAAAATAGAGTGAACAAATAAGTGAATGCCAGTTTATCAGCATGACACTGTGAGGCACTGTAGAATGAGGATGAGATAGAGTGTTGGGAGACACTCTCTTTAGTGAATGTGATTCTAGGAGAGCCAATTCACCATTCACACATTGATTTTTCTCATGTCAGTAATTACACAGATATCAGGTAGCTGCCAAAGAAAATTTCCAATATGACATCAGGTCTTATACGGCCTTCATTTTGTGAAGTTCCTGTAAAGCAACTTGGTACCTCTGCTCTTCTTCACTGCTTTAGTTCAATTTCAAGTGTCATTTGTAATTGCATTCGATTTGGCAATGTACTACGTGGCTCTTTTGTGGGTACTATTGTAGTTCTCTTAAGCCACTCAATGTTAATATGATATCGAGAAAAAAAATCAGGAGACTGACAATCTAATCATTTGTCTAGCTGTGTGCAGACACAAGGAAAATGGAAAGATACATGCTTTTTAAAAAACATTTAGTGTTTTCAAAAGACTCCTATGTATTTAGAATATCCTTCCAAATATCCTT